ACTTTAGTTTCATCTTGACAAAACATAATATCAATTGCTGTAGTAACTGCTTGATATGATTCAGGCATTGCAGAGAGTAACTAACTTCACTATCTTGTACTTGACCTCCTGCAATTTTAAGTTCATATACAGTTTGATTGAATTCTGTTAAAACATTTAAAGACCCTGTTGTATATTTCATTGACCTTAGTTTCTGCTGCAGTTGAACCTGTGTCGAAATTCCCTGCTTTTGGTAAGTATTTCCCAATGTACCTATAATCTCTTTTGCTGAGGTATTTGACTTAATCATTTCCAGTATATTGTCATGCAAACATTGCACAATTAGATTCCGGGCTTTCACATCGTTTTTCTTAAATACTTCTCGAGAGACATCATCTGCGGGTTCATCTTGAGATAGTACAGCTAAGACACCAGCCTGTTCCAGTAACAATTTAACTCTGAATAACCAGTTGGAGAAATTATTTCCATCAAAGGGTTTGATGTTTACAACATTTGTTTCCGCCATTTTTGTCGTTGAGTTCCGTACCACGTTTTTCGTAAACACTTTTGTTTTCTGATTACCACTATGCAAGCTTCTTGAATTTCCACAACTCTGGGCCCATAACCTTAAGGGATGCGTGATGGAAAAAGTCTTGCTTATAGATGTAATACTAAGACAATACGTTGACAAAAATAAACGTTTTATTCTAACATAAATTGTTGTTTACATGAATGTCTTAATTCTACTTCTTGACGTTGACACTTGTCACTTACAGGTAATGCCAACACTTAACATAAAAATGTACAATATAGAATTGTCATACCAACAGTTTTTTGGTGTTAGGTCATATGTTTGCTCTAGTACTTAGTAAAAAGTTACTTTGGTATCCTCTTTCTTCTCTTGGCATTTTTCTTCATCCTAGGTGATTCTAGGCGTTTTTTGATATGAGTTCCATATTTCTGATTCTTGTTTTTGTTCCTAATGCCCTTTCTTGTATATTTCATCGTTTTCATTTTCGATTGGATGCAGTTTGATTTTAGTTTCTAGCCTTTTTTGTATGTTACTCTTATTAATTCCTCATGAACATGTTCTATTCACCCCATCGAGCAAAAAGATAAAAGAGGGAATGTAAAGGTAGTGGGGACAAACATATTCTTAGACAGGAAGTGCTATCTTGAGAGGCCACTTTAAACAAGGAAAGACAGTCTCTTTCCTTGTTTAAGAAGTCAAATTTAGTTTGGTTATGTTATTGTTTGTCCGAACTGTCACATAAAATTTTATTTATATTGAAGTTTTTTACCAATTGTGTCACTTTTTAGACTATTATCGTTAATATTTAATTAAAACTTTCTTGTCTGAAAAATATTTTACAGCTATTGTTAACAAGTGTTGGAAAATTTAAATTTAGCGCCTTTGCGGATTGCATATTTCCGGATATGTCCGCCATCAGAGGCCACTTTTTTGGTCTCCTTTTCATAACGATTAGATTCCCTCTTTTATCTTTTTGCTCGATGATTCACCCGCACCTTTATCTAATAGCATTATTAAAGTGAAGTTTGCCCAGTACTGATCATTAACCACATTTGCTTTAAGAGATGTGAGATTCCTTACGTCTAATATTTGTTTAGCATGTATTGGTCTGCTAGTTATGATTAATGTGTCAGTATTCTCAACTGCGTACTTATGTGGCAGTTAATGATTTAAGAAATTGTTAGTTATGCGCAGTTCATTAGTGGAGCAGAAAGCAACTTTTCTCTCATCTTCTGATTCTTGTTTATTGTAATCTTAACTGTGATTATTATTTACACTTAACTCTGATATTATATAATCAACACTTTTAAATAATTTGTCATTTTATTACTAATTATAATTTCATTACCCACACCTAATTGTAAGGGTTCATCTGATACTCATTTTTTATTTACAGTTTGTTTGTGGAAACTTCTTATCATTTGTTTTCATATGATCAATGAATACTATATAATTTTTTTTCACTTGTAAATTTCGATTTATTAGGTGTACTAACTACATGTAATATAGACACATTTTTATTTGTATACTCGATATATCAACAATTTTTCCAAAAATGTGATATTAATTGTATGAAATTAATGAATGTATATATGAAATAAAATAGATTAAATATTTAAAACTTTGTTTGAAATAAATATTTTTCCTATATCCAAGTAAAGTATGTAACGACATTTTTCCACGATAACGTAAGTATGTCCTAAAAGTTTTGGCAGAAAATTCATTGGCTTTAATTTTAACAAAAACAAAATAATATCAATATCAAGTTACCTTTACAAACAAAAGTTTGTTTTGTAGCGTTATAAACATCACATCTTTATTAATTTATATTTAAATAATTACTTTATTTTAACTTCTTTATTAATTTATTAATTTCTTTACCTTCAGTTTCTTTTTTACTATTTTTTATTCAAAAATAGTTGACGCCCTCTCTCTTTCTCTTTCTGTCCCGTAGAATAAATATTCACCCTCTCTTTCTCTCCGATAGACTAAATATTCTGTTATATGTTGACAGAAGACCTAATTCCATCATAGGTATACGTCCTATGACATCTATACTTCATCTTATTTACATACCGATGCACGTCATCGGCGTCATAGCCCGTGACGTCACATGATACCAACACGAAATATTTAGGCGATAGGTGTGTTCTTTTTTAGAATCACTTTGCCGAGTACACTGGCATTACAGCCACTAGACATATTTTATTATATACGTGTAGAAATAATATTTAAAGATTTCTTTTCTATTATTAACTTTAAGAAATACACAATATATGTTTCATTTAATTTGTATAAATGTATTATAAAGCGTTTTTATGAAGAACATTTGTTCGGAACACGCTGTAACTGTAATCGAACTAAGGTTAAATTTTGGCATAAATCGGTAACACTTATTTGACAGTTGCGATGTTGACACTTTTTGTACTTTATTATTTTGAATTTTAAAGTGAATACCTCTTATTTTATATTTTTACCTATTTAATAAAATCTGTTCTTTTTAGCACAACATAAGTGTGTTTTATTTCAAAAATATCACGTAAGAATTTAAATAGTCGTTATAAAGAGATGGTAATACTTTTGCAATAATTGTGTGACTTATTTGATTTAAAATGGATTCATGATTTTTTTATACTTTGGCAACCATGTCAACTTCGATCTCTGACGTAGATAATGCACGATCAATTTTAGCGTTAAAGTCACCCATAATCATGGTTATCTCACCTCTTTTTGTCAGTCGCATTATTTCATCTATGTTGTTATAAAATTTTTCGATTTCTTCGTCTGACTTGTCACTTGTTGGAGCATAGACCTGAATAATATTTAGTTTTCTGTGAGTTGTTTGTAATTTCAACATTGCTACTCTATCATTTAGAGGGATGAGATCTGTAACTAATTGAGCAATTTTGTTTGACACTAATATAGCAGTTCCATATTGATGTTCTGGGTCAGTTCCACCTGAATAATATATGTATCCATGTTTTGTTTTTTGTACTCCTGAACCAGGCCATCTTATTTCCCTCATCTCCAAGATGTCTATTTTCAGTCTTATCATCTCGGCTTTAAGGATTCCATATAATTCTGTAGTACGAATATTACAAGTGACTGGGAGTCTTTGTACAGCTAAAGTTATATTTTCGGTACAAACAGCACAGCCAGTATTTTCTTCACTTTTTGAGGCGTCGGTGTAAAGAATTTGGTTGTATTGTTTGGTATTTATTGCTTCTTAATAATTGTCTCAGAAGATGGCTATTTTTCTTACGTCGAATTAGGAGGAATAATAAAGACTCGCTTAAGAAAATGCAATCAGTCATCGATATTGAGCGCAGTGCTGCTAACATATGCCAGGCAGTCAAGGCGTTCGATAGTGAGATTTTGAATAATTATCTCAATTGTTATTCAGTCCAATTTGGACACTGACTCTAGTTCTGATGATTATAATCCTGATTAAAGGTTTATGTGTAAAACTTATATGGTCTGGTTATGAGCTCAATTCGTTAAATGATTTCGGAACACCACTTTGTCAACTACACAAAACTGTGTTTTAGTTATATGTGATACTCTTAAGAATTGCTCAACAAAATGTATAAAATTTTATAAATGATTAAAGTGACTAAATTATACTTAAAGTGACCAATTCAAAATTGAATTTATTCCATGATTTACTAGTATTTAGGCATTGGAAATTATATTATTTTATTATTTAAACAATGAAACGTTGGGGCAAACATACAAACTCTTTAGTTTTGGTATAAATTTATTCTATTTTAATGTCCTATTGTCATTCTATAATCCCATTAAAATTGTCCTTATTATGTTTCTCATTATTCTGCACTTGAATATAAAAATAAATGATACGCTCATGTCTTGTAATATGATACGTTTGCCGACGACCAGTTATTTTTTGATGTTTCAACTGGCTTTATAAATACTATAAATTTATTTTTTCCGTTTCTCCGCCCTAAAAGGGCGGGTTTTAGGGAAAAGTTTAGGGTAAGGCTGGAAAACTTTTTATCATCTTTTGGTGTCCCAAAATTGACGTTCTCAGCAAAATTTAACTTGTTCGTATAAGTTTTAGAGGTCAAATCTCTGATGACTGGACTGTCTATGGATAAACTATATCAAGTAAAAGCGATGACATTACATGGGATGTTTATTATCGCTATGCTTTCAGGTTGGTTAGAAAATCGTTGTATATTTTTGTAACAACTGTGCTTGAAAAGCACAATTTTACTGATTTTTCCATCTCCTTGAACACAAATCAGTTATATTTTGCAGACAGAGGCGTATATCAAACTAACATGCTACTATCAAAGAAAAATATATTTGGATAAAATTAAACAGTCAATAAACTTGTTAATACAAAAAGTTAAGTAAATAGGTAACTAAAAAATATACATTTTGAAATCACATGCAACAGACAACCTAACCTAGAAGTATTTGAGAATTTTGGCATTACGTAGATTCTTGTTTCCTTATACACCAACAATTATAGCTCGATATGTTTTTGCATAATTCTAGTTTCAATATCTAAATGTATCTTCTCCACTTTTCTGGCATGCTTCTTAATATTGTCAGCCATAAGAGAATGTGTGTCAGTTTTACCGCCGGCAATTCCAATTTTTTGTTTCTCCTTCAATTTTTCCTCGTTTAAAGCATGTTCTACTTGCAGATGTCTGAGCTTCAACAACCTATTTTCGTAATGAAGCAGTTCAGTCTTCAATGAATGAAGTTCGCTTGGTGTGAAATTACTCTCCAGAGCAACTTTCCATAGACCTTGAACTTTGGGTTCCACAAACTCTTTGCTTGCTGGACCTTTGGCCGAAAGTAAATGGAGGTGGTCGAAGCCGTCGTTGATTTCCTTATGTTTATCTCTTAGTAAATTAACTTTATCTAAATAATTTTTATTAGGTTCTTTTTCTTCCTGGAGCTCTATTTTATTGTATTTATCTAAAGAATCTTCAACTGCATCTAAAATATTAAGGAAATTTAATTAGTACAAAAACAAAATTATTTAAAAACAATAAAACGAGGCAATTTAGGTGTAATGAAAAGATCATAGAAAATTATGATACTACTTAAATGAAAACACATGAGAATTACAGAAATATTAAAAAAATAATAAATGTAAGCTTTTACGACCGGGTTTTTGTAATTATACAATGATATGCCATCTGCGACTACGACCGACATCAATGGCGATATGTCAAAGGTCGAAAATGTTTTTCGCTAACTGAGAGTGTCTCTCTGTCTATTTAGTTCAATGTCCATTTCGAGTATCACGATGTTTAAACTTTATTTTCAAGTATGAACGTGAACTATTTTGGACCCGTTTAGGATTTTACGATTCCCTTCAGGGTTAGATTTTCTTGTATTTTAGGCTGGTGTTGATAATTACGGTTTTGGTCGTAGAAGTAACGTATCCCAAGCAGCTCATTTCAAACGTTATGTTTTGAAATTTTATAGGCTATAGAAATGATAGAGAACTTGGTACAGATAGACATTGAAGTAACTTGGATTGCTTTAAAAACGAAAATAAGAAAGATACAAGAAGATATCGGATTCATTAAATGAACAGGAAACAGGAATAGATAACGTAAGAGATCATGGACCTCGTGAACATAAGGCGAAATACAAAACAAACCCAATAGAATACAATCGAATCAATAAAATCATTTAAAAAAGTGCTAAAACAAAAGAAAACTGGATGTCAACAAAATGCCTAGAAATTGAACAACTTCAGGAAAGATAGGACACCTTCTCTCTTCAGCCTTAAGTAATCCAACTTTGGACCTAGGCTTCCCCAAATCAATCCAGTGTTTTCTATTTTGTGCCACTTGCTTCCAGTTGTGTCCTCCGATCTTCTTAATGTCATCAGCCTATCTCATTTATGGTCTTCCCTTGCTTCTCTTTCCTAATCATGGTCTCCATTGTTGTATTTCGTGGTTACACTGATCATAAATTTTGGTTTTCAAATATTGTTCTATTTTAGTGCTTTTCAAGATCCAACTCAATTTTCCAAATCCCGCCCAAGCTAACCTTATTCTTCTGGTTTATTTTCTTTGTTAACTTTCATTATCTGTCCCAAGTAGATGTATTCGCTTATTGTTTCTAAATTTATGTCGTTCAACGTTATTTCTCTAATGTTCGGTGTATTTGTCATTATTTTTTTTTTTTTTTCCAAATTCATCTTAAGACCGACCTACTTTTTCCGAAGCTTGAAATAGCTGCGTCATCATAGTCTGTAGTCCTTCGAAACTTGTAGAGAATATTACAATATCATTAGCTTATCTGCCCAGTTAATGTCTTTGAACACGTCTTCCACTCCCAGTGTGAATAGCTTTGGTGAGATAACATCTCCCTGGCGAACTCCTCTGTTGATTGGTATAGCTTTGGTTTTCGCATCTATTTGTATTTTCATTGTAGCTTTCTTGTAAATATTATGTATGAGCATTCTGTATCGAGAGTCTATCCTGCAGTTGTTCATAGCTCTCTCTATTGCCCAAAGTTCTATGGAGTCGAATGCCTTTTCATAATCAACGAAGCCAATGTATAAGTTCAAGTGATATTCATTGGATTTCTCTATTAGCGTTCTGACTGTAAGAAGATGATCCGCTGTACTGTAACCTTTTCGGAATCCTGCCTGCTCTATCAGTTGATAGCTATCGAGCTTTGACGTTAACCTGTTAGTTATTACTCTCATAAACAGTTTGTACATTTGGGACAGCAGGGAGATTGGCTTATAGGTCCTCAAATCTCCCCTGTCACCTGTTTTGAAGAGAAGTATTGTCAAACTTTCATTCCAATCATCTGGGACTTCTCTGCGAAGACATTCGTTGAAAAAATGTTTCGATTCTTCGAGAATGGCTACTTGTCATTTCTTAAAAAAAAGAGAGACACTTTCAGTGTTCATAAAAAAGTGAAAGAAATGACAGGTAGTCACAGAAAGGGACAAGGAACAATGTTAAGAAATAATAATAACGAAATAATTATTAGAAAAACTGGAGATGGAAAGAGTACATTCAGATATTTTTGACCACGATAGACATTGTGCTCCACCGTCCACAGATGATAATAAATGAAAAAGGTCCAGAAATAATCAAAGAAGTTATTCATGCAGTAAAAGCTCATAAAAACAGAAAAACGGCCACAATGGGCTTCAAGCTTAATATTCGATGATTATCGAATATTAAGCTTGAAGTCTCATGTTCTTAAAACTTTTCGTAGAATCATCTATACACGAGTTTACAAGAAGTGTGTGTGTGAATTTATGTATGATTGAAATTCTGAGAACAACTGAAATTGGCGAACAAGACATGCGAATTATCTCAGAACTGTATTGGCACCAAACGGCAACAATTGAAATAGAGCACATGACAATCGATGATATAGGAATCCGACAAGAGATGTGACAGGGTTGCGTCTTATCACCGCTATTATTTAATCTGTACTGAAAGAAGCATACAGTCAAGGTCAACAAATCCAGCATATGCAACAATCAGGTACGCTAATAGCAGTACGCTAATAAAATAATATAATTGCTAATAACAATTCATAACGAAATGTAAAGATACCAATAAGCGTACATTTGTATCACAAATAATAAAACAGGTAACTTCCATAAAATATTTGGGAGGATATATCAACAGACAGTGTAACCTAAAAAAATAAACTCTATCAAGAATCGAACAAATGAGGAAAAAACTTGATAAGACTCAACTCTACTCAACTAAACTCAAAATTGATAAGACCTTAGTCTAGAGCTCTGAATCCGAATGATCAGATGTTACGTTTTCTCTGTCCTGCTGTATGGCTATGAAAGTTGGACAGTGGACTCTGAAACTGGAAAAAGAATAGATATTCAAGAATAGATGCCGAGAATTATATGGATACAAAAAGTTACCAATGATTAGGTACTTTGTTGCATGAGTAAACAAAAAGAACTGCTAAGCATGATCAAAGAGAGGAAAATACAAAATTTGGGTCACCTGTTGAAAGGTGAAAGATATGGATTGCACCCAATCAAATAAAAATGAATAGTAAAGGACAAAAGATCAGTAGTAACTCGAGAAAACTCGTGGGTGAAGGACCTGAGGAGATGTTTTGACCGCTCATCCGCAGAAATGTTTCGTGCAGTAGTTTCCAAAGTTACAATTGACATTTAGATTGCCAACTTTCGAAAGGAGACGGCGCAATAAGAACAAGGATATCTAAAGAAATACTGGCGATTAATTTAGGAAAAAATAGTTGTGCAAAAAGATTCGGAAGCTGCGAGAAAATATTCTATCTCTCTACCCTGACTAGGAATCTTAGGATGAGAAAGTATGGTACCTCCATACTTTCTCATCCTAAGATTCCTAGTTTGAAACCTAAGGAAGTTGACTTTTCTTTTCACATATTTTTCATCAAGTTAGTTGCAGTCAGATCTTTGAAAAATATCATCAAGGCTCAGACACTTTCATAATTTTGCAACATTCATACAACCGAACTATTGGACAGATTTTACGTCAAAGACTCACCCACTCATGTTTCTCCACCTTCTCTCATTGTCTCTTTATCTAACCTCCATCAAAAGTCGATAAAATATGGTTTCACCGAAGGTCAAAAGTGGTCAAGACGTTCATAACTCAATCCATTTATTACCTATCCTGACAAAACTTAAATTGACAACATGACAACATGATCTAAAACATGACTTTAAACATTTCACACTGAACTGCTTGCAAACTAACTGGGATAAGCTTCATTGACAATTTAAAGAATGTCAACCAGATACTGATACATCAAATGTAGTACTTGAAATAGAAAACTATGAATTTGACATACCAGGTGGATACCTAATTGTGCCTAGAAACTACCTATAGGACAATATTGCTCCTGCCAGTTGTCTGTCACCAAATTTATCAATCAATGTTCAACATATCTATATATATAAACGGGGTGGTCCTTAAGTAATTGTACAAACAGAAACCGCAAATTCTACACTTTAAAATATTACGATTAAGGCCAAATTGCTTTTATAAAAAGTTGATATTAAGAAAGTGGAAATTTAAAATTTAATTATTCGCTATAACTTTTATGTTTGTGAACATTTATGTATAAAAATTTACAACTGGACACTATTGAAGATTAGCAATTATAATTTGATGCATACTTTAATGTAGCTGATAGAGAGCGCCACATATGCCACATATGTGGCATACATTGGCACTTAAGTTTTTTGCTGTTTAAGTTATCGATATTTTTGATAAAAAATAATAAAGATACATTATTTTAACAAAAAAATGTATATTAGTTAATAACTTCAAAACTCAACAGTTTTCGAGATAAACGCATTTTACAAATCAACTGCATAATTCTGATTTACCGCAATTACTCCCGGCAAATTTTTAATTTTGTTATAAAATATCTTTAATAAAGTGAATAGTTAATTAAATATTAAATAAACTAAATATATCAACAGGATAATTAATAATAGGATTCGACAAAATAACAGAATAATATGGTTTTATATCAAACATTTTACGTTTTATAATAAATTAAAGTCATAATCAAAACATTTTATTTACAAACCATATTAAAAAATAGTTAAACTAAATAACATTAAACTTTTTATCAAAGTAATTGTTCAATATGTCCACCATTTTCTTTAGTTCATTTGTCAATACATTCCATAAAATATCGTCTCATATTAAATAGCATCATTGTTTCTAAAGAAACTGCTGCAATATTTATTATAAGTATTATAAGTATCATAATAAGTATTATTTTGGGATTTTTATGAATTAAATAATTATATTAATATCTTACCACAAGATCAAGAAATATGACTACCACGAACAATCCAATATTCAGGAAAGTTGTATTTAAGTATGTTCTCAGTGGCTTCTCTCTATAATGTGGTTTGTGCAAGTACCATCTTGCATAAACCACATATTTCGCCTTAAGTTTGATGACAATTCTTCCAATATATCAATAAAATAATTTTATAAAAAAAGGCAATAAATATCACCATTCAAATCACAAGATGTACAAGACATTCGCATGTCCGTAAAAAATAATTACCAATGGTTCCAAATCATACATTTATTTAAAATTCATGTTTAAAATGCATGTCTTGGTAAAGAAAATGGTGGACATATCGAACACTTATTTTGACAAAAAATTTAATGTTATTTAGTTTAACTATTTCTTAATTTGGTTTGTAAAGAAAACGTGTTGATTATGACTTTAATTTAATATAAAACGTAAAATGTTTTATGTAAAATCCAAATATTTAGTTATTTTGTCAAATCCTATTATTAATTATCCTGCTGATATATTTATTTTATTCAATATTTCGGTAACTAATACCTTTATTAAAGGTATTTTATACCAAAATTCAGAAATATTGATGTTTTTCTCTAATTTTCTTTCGTTGCCTGGAGTAATTGCGTTAAATCAGAAGTATGCAGTTGATTTGTAAAACGCGTTTATGTCGAAAACTGTTGCTTTTTGAAGTTATTAACAAGTATACCTTTTTTTTTTGTTAAAATAATATATCTTTATTATTTTTTATCAAAAATACTGATAACTTGAACTGCAAAACAGTTAAGTGCAAATGTATGCCACATATGTAGCGCCCTCTATCAGCTACATCAACGTATGCATCAAATTATAATTCCTGATATTCAATAGTACCAATTGTAAGTTTTTATACATAAATCTTCACAAACATGAAAGTTATAGCGAAAAATAAAATTTTAAATTTCCAGTTTAACACCCTGTATCTTTCTTAATATCAACATTTTATTAAAGCAATTTGGCTTACATCATAATATTTTATCGAGAATCTATGGTTTCTTTTTGTACAATTACTTAAGGACCACCCTGTATATATATATATATATATATATATATATATATATATATATATATATATATAAATATATATATATATATATATATATATATATATATATATATATATATTATTTACAAACATACATACATACATATATAGATTTTAAATACTTACTTCCTTCATAATCTTCTGGTTGGCCCTTCACATCATGCAATAGTGAATAATACTGATCAATTTTATCTTGATGATGTCCAAATTCCTCCCTCAAAGCTAGGAGCTCTTCTGTAGTAAATCCTGCTTTTTCAGCTTTTTCCCACAATTTATTCAGCTTCTTATCTTTAAAAATACTCTTATTAATGTGTTTATCGCTGACTTCATTAAGTGGTTTCCATCGTTTTGCTTTTTCAACATCTGAGATATCATCAGCTTGGTCTAATAACCCAAAGTTCTCCATAATCTGCAGCAATTTTTTTCTTAATTGGGCTTCCATTGTACCATCTTTGTCCTTGCCCTCTGCTCGAAGATGCTTCCAAGTTATTTCTTCTTTATCGTGAAGTTTGAGATCTCCAAAGATAGATTTTAATTTGGTATCAGATAGCCTCTATAAGAAGGTAAAAAATAAAAATAGTTTTTAACGAAATAACACTTTAGGAAACCATGTATTTTTATATATTGCTCATTTAAATATATGTCAGTTTTGTTGCACAAAGTCAGTGGCTCTTTAAGCATAGCCTCTGATGTTTTCAAGTACAATAAAGGAAAACCAACAAAAATATGGGAATTCATAAAGTTATTGAAAAATTACAATTAGTCATCATAAAAAAATGTACTGAAGGGTTAAGAAATAACAGGGATCATTTTTAATATTGTATATATTCACATAGTCTGGATAACACTCATCAACTGAGTTGGCATAAAAATTTTACATCTTCAGGATTTTCTTACCCTTCTCAGTTATCCCTAAATATGCTCAATGGAATTAAAATCTAGAATTAAGCAGATCAATATTTTTTTTAAATACTAATATTCCAAGGTGCTGTGTTAACATCCTTATCTTGAATCTGCCATATTATTGTGCAGTACTAGAAAACCATTGCCAACAAACCTAGCATTCAATGTTCATATTAGCTGTATTTGTAGTGCACATTCTGAACTAATTCAAACAATTCTGACTACTTGCACTTTTAGTATCAAATGTTTTGCTCTGAAATAAAAATTTGTCATTTGTGGTGCAGATTCAACAATCCCCTTCAGGGTATGTTTTAGAAGTTCTTGAATTTTGTTTGTCATTTTTATGCATAAGAGACTAAAAAGAGATTTAAAAAAGTGTGCCAGCACATGGCATTGTCATTTGGGCTTTTGCCATGTGCCAGCACATGACAAATAAAGATGTCATTCTGATCTTATTAAATGTAGCAAATTGTGTAGTGAATGCCACAATAGAATGCAGCAGAATACAGTAAATGGTATTAAAAGAAAAATTTGCTAAAAAGTATATCAACATTTACAAGTTGACAAATGACATACTAAAGCCAAAGACACATTTATAATTTAAGAATAATACATCACATAACTATGAGATTTATTTATAAGAGATATGTAAGATAAAATATGGAAAGACCGAACAATAACAAGGAATACTAAGCTCAGGTTGGTCAATGCCCTTATTTTTCCCATTGCTACATATGCAGCTGAAACATGGACTCTCAAAAAAATCGATAGGAGTAAGATCGAAGCCTTCGAAATGTGGGTATATAGAAGAATTCTATGCGTGTCCTGGACAGAACATAGAACCAACCTGTCAATTCTGGAAGAGCTTCATATAAAAGACAGGCTACTAAAAAAAGTAAACCAAGCATACCTAACTTACTTCGGCCACATAGCTAGAAGAACGGGCACCATGGAACTATTGGTAGTAGAAGGAAAGGTAGAAGGCAGAAGACCAAGAGGAAGATCTCCAATACGATGGGTAAACCAAATGAAGAGTTTGGTGGGAAAATCCCTACATGAAGCCGTCCATATGGCACAAGATCGCAGTCAATGGAGACAGCAGACTAACAATATTTAGGGTGTCACTACGCCCTGACAAGGGCTAAAGGATTGAGGAGGATGTAAGATAGGACATTATTCATACAGTGAGTAATTGCGTTATTACTAAGTAAATTTGACTTCATTGTCTTTATAATGAAGCAATTATATCCAAAATGACTGTGTACCTCAGGTGAGTTCCGATCCAACAAGGGTAATAATAACATCACTCAAACAGTTTACTTGAGAAGTTACATGAGCATGAACAAGGACCATGATTATCAATGAATAAGACAGGTAAGGTAAAACTGTCAAATAAAATTTATTTAAAATCAATGGAGTAACAGCAAACAATTATTTGTATTTTAAAACTGATTTCCAGACTGTAAATGGAAATGTCAATACAGTATACAATGTTATTACAATATTACAATATTAATTATTAATTACAATAATTATTGCAGTTTACTTTTAGAAGATATGTATTTTGGAGGAGCAAGAAGGATTAAAGAAAATGAATTGATTATAAATGGTGCAGCTATATGGAAACATTACTTGACTAAGGATCACAAGAAGAGACAAGATTCATTTTGTAATGAATTGTGAAGTCAACTTTTTGTCTAACATTGTATTTTCCTATGAAAAAGTATTCCAACCATATAGCAATGGTCGAAAAAGAGTTTATAGATTGGGAAATCATAGGTTTGATGAACGGTATATTCATTGTTTAAGAAATAATGGAGGATTCTCAGTCAACATATGGGGATGAATAAGAGTTAAAGGTCTGTGTGTTTGTTCTCATATAGAAGAAAAATTAACAGGATTTTATTACAAGCATATTCTTAAGAACATAATATTGCCATCAGTAATCCAGATGTTTCCCAATAACAACTTTATCTTCTAACATGACAATTGCCTGGTGCATACAAGTAAAATTGATTGAGAATGAATGGATAGGAAGAAACTCATGTTTATGTTCTTCTGTGGCCTTCCCAGAGTCCAGATCTTAACCCTATAGAAGATGTGTGGACAGAGTTGACAAATAAATTAAATTAAAGGAATCTTAGAAAACAGAATAGAATATAACTATAGGAAGCAATTGAGCAAACATGGGAGGAGCTCGTTGAATATAATATGAGGAGATTGGTGCTATATACGAGCAGAATATTTCAAAGCTAATGAATAAAAATGCTATACCTATGAAAAGAATTATACATGCCAAGACATATAAGATGGCAAGAAATATTGATAAAGTGCTATTTAGAACAAAATAACAAGGGGAAGTGAAAGATGTGAAAATAAAAGATATAACTTTCTAAGCATTGGAAAAGGTAGAAAGGATGATAATAAAAAGACGATTAGGTGGAAAAAACTTGCATACAGACGGTGTAGAGTTGTTTTAACTGGGGCAATGAAGTAAGGCTTACAGATATACCTACACCTAGCACAGTACCTTAAATGTATTCAAATAAAGTTGTGAAAGATAACATTTTATTAACTCTATATAAAACTGCCTTACCAAAACTGCTTTGGACCATAAAAGATTCAATTTGGCCATACGAAAAGGCCGATCCAGATGTTTCAGAGTTATAGGACGTAAATCCACTGGTTCATCAACATCATCCTTATTTTTATTCACATCATTAGTTTCCAAATTTGCTTCTTTGGTATATTTGTTGTAACACGTAGTATTGATAACGAAAATTGATAGAAAAATTACACAAATTACATTTAATCCTTTCATGTTGTTCGATATACAGTGTATTTTAATTACCCTTACTTAATAATTTATTGTAATTTGTAATCGACTGATATAAACATAACCTCAAATCAAACGTCTATCAGTATCAACCAGATGACGTGTGTGTCAAATCAAAATACATAAAATTAAATTTGTTAATTTCTCCATGATTTGTTCAGTACAGTATCGGATTCACCTAACGAGTGTGTTTAATCAATGAAGGAAACAATTATTTACTATAATATAACAACAACATTTATCATAACAATACAAGAGCAAAAAAACAACAAATTTAAACTCGAATAAATACTACAATAATTTTCCAATAAAGTTTTAATGCAATAAAAAGGTAGAACAATTCATTCTCAATTCGTTATAAACGTTTCTTTTGCGACCATTCATCCCAGCTTCCTTTATAATACTTGCAACTAAAATAGAAAAAATATTAATAAAATACTTATTGTGATATTTTTATACATATGTACTTCTTAAATCCAAGAGATTCAGCTTCGTTTAAAGCTTTTAATGCTCGATTTCCTGACTTGCAAGTAAATACCAATAATGAATTATAATTCGGGGCTTCCCGTTGATATGTCCTTTCAAATTCATTTTTTGGAGAGGTTAGAGCACTTCTAAGGAGGGGCACTGAAATACAATATAAATTATTAACTTCAAAATGTAGAAAACCGTAAAAATATTGTTAAATCCACCATTAAAGCAACACTTTGAATTTCTGCTTAAAGTTAGATATTATTCTTAATTAATACTTACAAGGTATATTAATGCTGTTTTCAATTAATCCAGTCTCTTTTATTTCTTTAACCTCCCTCACATCTATTATTAAAGCGTTTCTATCCTTTACCAGTCTTTCCATGTCGGAATAAGTAACAATTTTATTATCCATATCATAAAAATATGGCGTAGCCGTCAAATGGCAGCTAATATATTTAAACGATGTAAATATAAGATGTTGTATAAACATACATACCAAATTCATGCTAACGCAAATAATTTTTGTTTCCAATTATAAGGAATAAATGGATACTTAAAAATTTGAAATAATTCCAAATTAAGCAGCCGAAGAATAAAGTCGTATGAACTCAGGCGATCCTGACAACGATAGTTGTTATCAGTAAAAACGTATTAGTTTTTTCTTTTTATTGTTTTCTTATCAATGGACATCGTGATTTCGTTATCTGTGTATAGTGACAATATTCCACGATGTGACAATTTCACCAAAACATTAACGTTAATAGTTTAGAAGTGCATTGATAAATTTGGCCAGTGTCGTAGCAAAATTCAGGTAACTGTTATTTTTATTCCTTTTATCCACAGAGTCCTACTAGGACGTCTGTTGCATTAATAATAAAAATTTATGTGTAGTGGTTTTGGTATCCAAAATACCACAATCAATAATACTGTATATGACTAAGTGGACTGTATATTTTCTCATTTGGTCGAATTAAAACGCATTTACGCTTTCGTATAACGTTTATTTATTTGAATTTTACAATGTGAATTAGATATGTGTCTTCACACCACGGCGGTCGGTGAAGCTCTCTTCGCCTCTCGAATAGAAGCCGCTACCTCGGCACATCGGGTTGAAAAGCTGCGTTGCCGATGTTCGCAGTCTCTAACATGCCCCCGGCCTTGAAAGGACTTCCTTTCAATCTTGAATTGGTAGTGGACAAATCTTTGGAAAAGCTCGACGAATGACACCATTTGCGGTTCGGATCGATGCCACTCGACAAATTCCATCTTTTCCAGGATGTAACTCCAGAACACGACCCAGTCTCCATTTCAACGGATTGATATTATCCTCCTTCACGAGTACCATGGAGCCTTGTGACAAAGTTTTCTGCGTCTTTTTCCATTTAACCCTCTGCTGTAATTCGGATATGTACTCCTTCGACCATCGTCGCCAGAAGTTCTGTCGCATTTGTTCCAGGAGTTGGAAACGAGAAAGTCGTCCAGTAGGTAACTCGGTGATGTCGGGTTCTGGTGTTGCGATTAACGGTTGGCCGATGAGAAAGTGAGCAGGAGTCAATGGATTTTCATCGTTAGGATCGGAAGAGAGTGGTGAGAGGGGTCGGGAATTTAAAATCGCTTCGATTTGTGCAAACACTGTTGATAATTCTTCGAATGTTAGAATATTATTCCCTACAACCCGCTTTAAATGATTTTTACTTGATTTAATTCCTGCCACCCAGAGGCCACCGAAATGCGGAGAATGTGCTGGAATAAAGTGCCAATTTATATTTTCGGATGAGCACAACTCCGAAATTTTATTTTGATTTGAAATCAAGAACTTACTTAACGCTTGTAATTCGTGATTCGCGCCAACGAAATTAGTACCGTTGTCAGAATATATTTGTTGAGGTTTTCCGCGTCTGCTAATAAATCGTTTTAGTGCTAATAAAAAAGTATCTGTCGAAAGATCAGAAACTAGCTCAATATGAACTGCTTTGACAGCAAAACATACAAACAGCGCCATATAACATTTTGAAGTTTTACTGCCCCTACCGTATCGATTTTTAATAATAAAAGGTCCGCCATAATCTACCCCACAAACCTTGAATGGATAACCAGCATCAAATCGAGTTTTCGGCAAATTACCCATAATAGGATTTGTGTTCCTCGCATTAAATCTGAAGCAAGTCACACACTGTCTAACTGTTAATTTAGCAAGATTTCTTCCTGATACCGGCCAAATGGACTGACGCAAAGAACTAAGCAAAAGTTGTGGGCCGGCATGCATCAATTTTAGATGTTCTGATTTAAAAATTAATTTTGTTAACGGATGGTGTGCCGATACGATAATAGGATGTTTCTTGTCATACGAATAATCTGAATTTGTTAAACGACCACCAACTCTTAATAAACCTTCCTGATCGATAAAAGGATTAAGATTAAGAATTTTGCTTTTAGTATTGATTTCTTGTTTATTTAATAAGTTGTTTATCTCTGCTGTATATGACTCGCTTTGTGACATTTTTAGCAGAAGCTTGTACGCCTTTCTTAATTCTTCAGTATTAAGAGGACTATTTGTTCGCTTAGAATTAGAATCTTTATTTGAGATAATTGAAATGAATCGTAGAACAAATGCTACTGTTCTAATTAGCTTGCTCAATGAAGAGAAGCGACGTATATCTACTACTGGTTCCAACGCACGTATTAATAATGTATTTGAGGCACACTTTAGTTCAGGTAAGTTCTCTGAACACTTTACCCCTTGAGGCCAATCGCATTCGGATTTGCTTAACCAACTTGGACCAGACCACCACAAATTAGATTCTTGCAACTCATATGGACTGATACCGCGCGACACTAAATCTGCGGGATTGTCCTTTGAGGAAACATGCCGCCAATCACAAGAACTAGTTAAAGTTTGTACTTCGGCAACTCTATTAGAGGTGAACGTTTTTAATCGGTGTGGTTCCGTTTTCAACCAACCTAGCACGATTGTGGAATCTGTCCATAAGGTAACTCTTTCAAATATTGTGTTGTTAAGTGCATCCTTAACAATTGTAAATAATTTGGCTAAAACAACAGCTGCGCATAACTCGAGTTTTGGAATCGTAATAGTTTTCAACGGACTTACTTTAGATTTTGCGCATAGAAGCCTAACCGAAACCTGATTATTTCGAGTAATAGAACGTAGGTAGATGCATGCTCCATACGCGTGTTCGGAAGCATCCGAGAAACCATGTAATTGAATTGATTGTGCATTCGGTAATATTACGTGACGTGGAATAATTAATGAATTAAGTTTGGGAATCTCGGATTTGATCTTAAGCCATTCACCATGTAACGGCTGAGGAACTGATTCATCCCAACTTAATCGCTCTAGCCAAAGCCTTTGAAGTATAATCTTCGTTTTAATAATACAAGGCGCTAAAAGGCCTAGCGGATCAAATATTTGACCAACAGCCGAAAGAATGATTCTTTTAGTTACACGACCGTCTATAGCATTTGGTTCAATTTTAAACGTCAAAGAATCAGAATCGCATGACCAACCGAGGCCTAATGTTTTTGTGTTTTGATCTTCACTGAATTGAACCGTCTTCTGTGAAGGTACATCGCCCTTTATTAGTTTAAGTATCGTATCGCTATTTGAGTGCCATTTTCGCAATTTAAAGCACCCTTCAGATAAAATTTTTGAAATACCCAAGCCTAAACTCACTGCTTCTTGAATAGAATCAGCACCCGTAATTAAATCGTCTACGTATATGTCGCTTTTAATTATTTGAGATAACTCTGGTCTATTTCTTTCACAATTTAGGGCTAGCTCCATGATACAACGAATTGCTAGAAAAGGCGCTGAAGCAGTACCATACGTAACCGTGTTTAATTCGTATATTTCTAATTCCTCGTTGGGATTATTACGCCAAAATATTCGTTGCAACGATCGCTCTTTCGGATTAATCACTACTTGCCTATACATTTTCTCGATGTCGGCTGTTATCACGAATGCATGAATTCGAAATCTTAAGAGTATTGACAAAAGACTACTTTGTATTGTTGGGCCTACCATTTGTAGGTCATTAAGTGATAAACCTGTGGATGTGGCAGCGGAAGCATCGAAGACAACGCGAAGCTTTGTAGTAACAGATTCTTCTCGAAGTACTCCATGGTGTGGCAAGTAATAGTGAATCGCATTTGTATTTAATTTATTTACTTTGGTCATATGACCTAACGCTTGGTATTCATTCATAAAATCAACATATTTTTCACGTAAATCTGAATTATGCTTAAGTTTTCGTTCTAATGATAAAAATCGCCTTCGCGCTTGTTCTTCCGAATCACCTAATTCATCTGTACTCGTTTTAAACGGAATAGATACTACGAATCTACCCGTTTCTATATCGCGTTTCGTATTTTCAATAAAATGTTGTTCGCATGACGCTTCTTCTTCGGATATTGCCGGTTTTACACCGCATTCTTCTAATAACCAGAATTTCTCTAGTTGTTTTTGAATATCACCATTTAAAGACAAATTGCAGTGGGATACATTCGTATTTTCTGTAATGTTTCCAGAAATTATCCATCCAAAAGAAGTTTTTTGTAATACTGGCTGATCTGATCCTAGACGTATTTGTCCAATTTGCATCAGTTTCCAAAATAAATTTGCTCCAATTAGTAAGTCTATGGGACCTGGTTTGTAGAAATCTGGATCAGCAAGGATTATATTTTTTGGAATATTTAACCTGTTGATATTAATAACAGTAGTTGGTTGGATTCCAGTAATTTCGTTTATAATAAGACATGATAATTTTACAGAATATGCACTATGTAGCGACTCCACAGAAATTTCGCATTTTTTGTTAATCTGGGATTTGCTACTATTAAGACCTACCACGGCCATATTGATATTTTCTGTTTCGAGATTAAGTATATCGCATAAATTTGATGAAATAAAACTAGATTGGGAACCTGAATCTAGCAACGCGCGTACGGTGTGAGATTTATTGAATTTATCAATTACTTGTACCAAAGCTGTGGCAAGTAAAACGTTTTCCTGAGAAATATTTGAACAAGTTAGAGATACATTTGAGTTCTCCGTTGTATTATTTTCGCGTCTATTGTATTCGTTATTTTGTATATGTAATATCGTATTGTGTCTACCGTTACATTTTCTGCAGTTGCTTAGTCTGCAAACCGTATTTATGTGACCAGGTCGTAAACAATTTATACATAATCTAAGTCTTTTCGCATGCGTATTTCTTTCTGCTGGGGAAAGTTTAAGAAATTCTGCACAGTTTCGAATATAATGATTTTGTTTGCAGAAAGCACAAGTCATGTTATTTCCCGAACGATCAGCTGTATTATTGTTCCTTGAAGAAACATTTTCCGTATTGACAAACGATTGAGATATTCTGGATTGTTTTTTATGAAAAGAAGAAGTATTTCCTGAAGATGTATCGCGTTTAGATTCTATTGTTTCCAGCAAATCAGCCTTTGATTTTAAAAATGTTTTTAAATCTCGCACTGTCGGAT